AGAGAGAGAGAGAGAGAGAGAGAGAGAGAGAGAGAGAGAGAGAGAGAGAGAGAGAGAGAGAGAGAGAGAGAGAGAGAGGAGGGCAAGCCAGTTCTACAAGAGTGGGAGAGGAGGACGACAACGTGGTGGAATGGATTTGTTCAGAAACTAACAAAAGAGCAAAGCAGAGATGACCATGAAGTCACACAGCTATGAGTATTAAGTGTGTTCAGTCTAACAATCCGAAAAATCATCTGGCTAGAAATAATATACATTTACAATTGTCCTTGCCCATGTTGTTCAGTCTAACAATCTCTACCTTGAGGTAACGATGTCCGTAACATACAAAGTTGGAATTTAATGAAGTCTGACACAAGTCTGTGAGCCATCTGTAGAGAACATCAAGGTAGGGAGACCAGGGGAGGAGGAGAACTTTTCATAAAGCTAGCTCACGCACGTCTGACACAAGTAGTCTTCTCCCCCTGTTTGTCAATCCTTGTGGTAATCCACTCCACCCCTCCCTCTTCTCCTCCCCTCCCCTTCCTTCCCCTCTTTCTCTCCCATCCTCCTTCCCCCTTGCTCACCGCCCCCCTCCCTACCCTCCCTTTTGTTTTCATGATAGAATTACACTATTACTTGGTTACAACAAATCAGACACTGACCAGAATCCTTTTGCACTTGCAGACTCAGAAAATGAGGGAAATCCTTTGGCAGTTCCATCTCTTTTTAAAAAAAAAGAACAAAAAAAAAACGAGGGTGACGATGGCCTTGAGATATGAACACTGAACTGACCTGCCCCAGGTAATTCAGAATCATTGTATTCTGTTCATCTGGTTGTTGCATCTGGAATTTTATATCTGATGATCTGATCTATATTTCAACATTTCCATCTCTCAAAGTAAAGGTGGGGGGTTCTTTTGCACCCATCCTCACAGCAGCAGCTGCTGCACATTTTCATGTCGGCATTACCTATCCTGTCTTTCTATTTTTTTCTTTTTTTTTTTCTTTTTTTCTTTTTCTTTTTCGGGGTGTCTTTCACGTTGTTAATGTACAGGACAACAGTCTATGTGGTTAAAATTCAATAAATATTAACTATATTTTGTCTCCGCATCCATTGAGCCTGCTGCACATCCGTTGATTTCAAATGCCTGCTGTGCAATTGCCTGCTGACGCGCAGAGACACATGGAGGTTCGGAGTTCGAATCCCAACTTTGGCAGGAGCATATGATCTTCACCACCTTGCAGCAGCTTTTACCACAGATGCAAACTCTTCATCAAATTAATTTGTCCGTTGAAAACTTGAACGGTTGAACCTGGTCGTCTCGTCATGGCAGATAAATCAGGAGATGACAGGAAGGCAGGAATATTCTTCGACTTCACTCCTCGCCGAACGCCGCCGCCTCATGGGTAATACCTTTATACTTCCGCTGGAAATTCACAGCCAAATCAGCAGAGTAGTCTTCGTTGATTGCATCTCTCTTGCGCAATCCCACGTTCTTCTGGATAAAACCTTATCGTTTCTCAGTGAAAGTTCGCGGACGAATCATCGGATTTGTCATCGAGTTCCAACTGTTGCGGAATCCCACCTTCTTTTAGGGATAAAAACCTTAGCCATTCTCGCTGAAAGCTCGCGGATGATGAATCATTGGATTCGTCGTCTAGTTGCATCTGTTGCGGAAGGAATCCCATCTTCTTATGGATAAACCTTATCCATTCTCGCTGAAAGTTCACGCAAAACAAATCAGTGCATTTTTTCTTGATTACAGTGGTCGTAGCCGAGCCGGAACCGGAGCCGGAGCCAATCCTTTCTGCAGACGGAGATACAGCCACTGGACGGCAGGAAGGCGCCGTGGTCGATGCTCTGGCGTTTTACAGGGAGGTACATCCTGACTGACTCTTGCGAACAAACCTTATCCTTTCGCCGCAATGTTTGTTTGCGGTGAAATGGACCTGTGAAGTCGAGTCGTCTACCGATTGGACGAAATCCGATTCCTTTATCGAGTGTACAAAATCAAATCCTTGGTCGAGCACTTGAGTCTGCAACCATCTTTCCCCAAAAAACAGAACACACGGTCATTACGCCTGAATCTGGGGCAACTTTAAGTCTACATGGGCGATAATGACTGATCGTTCTATATTCCGGGGAAAGACGGTAGGTAGTTCCCAACAACCAGCAAGAGGAGTCCTTATCCTTGAATGATTGTTATGGATTAGGTTCCGATAGACCTGACCTTTTTCGCAGCGGCAGCCCACGGCAGCTGATTGGCAGTGTGGTAGTCGAAATCCGCCAGTGGCCGGTGACAGGGGTATATATTATGCTTCTTATTACCCCTTTGCAGCAACTTTTGCGGCCAAACCTGACCCTTTAGAGGGTGCGGTTTTCACAGCCGAATCCGATCCTTTTGCTGAGGCAGGAGCACCACCCGCAGCAGCCTCCCGTTTCTTTTTCAGTACGTTCGATGTCAATTTGTTCACGAACTGAACATATGCCTCCACGTCGAACTTCCGCTTGCACCCATTGAAGTTCATGTACCTGATTTTCCCAAAGACTGGCCGTTCCGCCCAGCCCTGGAGCCGCACACACAAATGGGAGACAGAACCGCACACACAAGGACAAAGCGATGCCCCCTCAGAAACTTCACTTTTTTTTGTCTTTTCTTTTTTTTCCCACCCCCCAAGAAACTTCACATTGAAACATGCGGTCACAATTTGTGAAATGGTCAAATAGTCAAATGTTTGACCCAACTTTTCAGAAAGTCAAATTTTGACCATCCGAAATTTGACCATCTGAAATGTGTTGCCGCAAAGGAGGACTATTTAGTAATTAATGCTTGAATATTAATTTAGGAATTTGCCTTGTCTTGTGAGGCTCTAAAACCAGCTTTATTGTTTCCAGGGGAGGAGGCCGAGGCGGAGGAGGAGAGGAGGACGAGGAGGAGGGGAAGGCGGAGAGCAGGCAACAATGGGAGATGGAGGAGGAGGAGGAGGAGGAGGAGGAGAGTAAGAGGAAGGAGGGGAATGTGAAGCGAACGCAGCAATGGGAGGGGGAGAGGAAAAGGAGGAGAAGGAGAAGAAGAGTTAAGAGGAAGGAGGGGAAGCCAAAGAGGAGGCAGCAATGAGAGGGAGAGGAGGAGGAGGAGGACGAGGGCGAAGAGGAGGAGGAGGAGGAGGAGGAGAAAGCAGGGCAAAGAGGAGGCAGCCATGGAAACAACAACGCAGGAGGAGGAGGAGGAGGAGGAGGAGGAG